CTCCGGGAGCAGGAGCCCGCAGCCCCAGCAGGCCGGCGGCCGGCGGCGGAAAGGCCCTGGCGCCTTAGCGACGGCCTATCTGGTCATCTACAACGTGGTCATGACAGCTGGGTGAGCAGCGCCGGCGCCCTCTTGGCGGGAGGGTGGGCGCGAGGAAAGGCTCGGCTTCGGTGCACGGACGGAGGGCGTGTGTTGGGCTGGGTTCGGCCGCTTCTGAGGGAAACCAGGACCCCTCTGCCTCCCGGGGCTTCTCTCGCTTCCCTCCCCTCCGTGTAATGGCTGAGCCTTTCCTCTCGCGAAAAGGTCGCTCCTTTGAACGTGCCTTTTCCTTTACCCGGGCAAAGGATGGAGATCCCTATAAGCAAGCGCTTCTTGCCTTTTGGATCCTTTCCGATGATCAGGGCTGAGCACCGAGGACCCCTGTTTGGTGATTTAGCAGGAAATACTTTTCTTGGGAGAGAGCCAGTTTGGTGTAGTGGTTAGGCTAACACTCGGAGGACCCTGAGTTCTAATTCTGCCTATAGGCACAAAGTCAGCTGGGTGACCTTGGGCCAGTCAGTTTCTCTCAGCCCTAGGAGGAGGCAATGGCAGAACACTTCTGAAAAACCTTGCCAAGAAAACTGCAGGGACTTGTCCAGGCAGTCTCTGAGACACGATTGAATGGATTAAAAAAAAAACAACTTTTCTTGGGAGAAGTCAAAGGGCGCCCAACAATATGCAAGCATTTGCTTCTCCAAAGAGGTTTGTCAGGTATCATAATGTCTTTATGAGGTAATATTGAATGTTCAAGGTCTGGAGTGTGCATTTAGTGCTCGGAGGAAATCATGGAGGCTGAAGCATTCAGATTAGGCTCTATAAGGTGCTGTGATCATTTCAGCTTGTACCTATGGTGAGCCTTCAACAATTCTCATATTAGAAATATAGAATTCAGCTGTTAGGGATAGAACCATCCTCAGATAAAACACACCTTTGGTCGGTGGAAAAAAGATCAGGAGGTTTTTATAGTAACAAAGCTGGACATGATTGTAAATAGTGCAGTTGATTTTTTTTTTAATCATTTGAAGTCTCCCAGATAGCACTGTGCTGATGAACATTGACCATTTGGCATTTTCCAAAGAAATGCTGATGATGTTTTGGATTATCTAGAGAATAACTTTTTCTTTAGCTCCTTAAATTGATTGGGAATATTTCATCCACCACCTTTCTTAAAACTTCACTTTAATAATGTAAGATATGCATGTGCCATGTTTGTCTATGAAAATGCATTTGTTCTTTCTGTTTGCCTATGGAATTGCACAGTACAAATGGTTATTGGACTGTAATCATAATAAAACAATAATTGAAAGCTGATATATTTGGGATGGACACATTTCTGTGTTACAACAGTGCATGCAACACTAGGGTCCCAGGATTGAGCGTGCATGTAGTAAAAACATATTTGGAATATGGGAAGTATATATGGGTTGGTTTTTGAACTCTTGTGTCTGTTCTGGATGCCAGCAGACTGTCTTTCAGCATAACCAGTGGCATTTGCAACCACTTTTTGGATCTTATCACTTTCTTCTACTATTACTACATAAAAAGAGAGAGAACAGCCAGAGGATACTCAGTGATCATTGTCATTTCAGAACTTATATTTATTGTGAACTAAGGCATAATTAATTTGGATGTATTTGCATGTAGTGAGAAACAGCAGATACTGTTTCTCAATTAATGCTGTTGCTCTCTAATCCGGGCATGTAATACATAGGATAAAAACTAAGTGGGAGTTTTTGGAGAAAGAGTGACAGTGAGAATACCTGATCATGAGCAATGATTCTCCTCAGAGTCTTTCCTTTCATCCATTATCTGATTATCTTTGCCTTATTTTGGACATATTTCCAAACCAAGTTTAGGACTGGTTGCTCCCATTTTTTTATATTTTGTAAAAATGCCAATGCAGAAATTGCACGTTAAATGATAAATCTACAAGCCAGTGCTTTACTTTGCAGCATGCCAGTTTTCCATTCAGTTTATTTAAGTAAAATGTAAAAGAAGGTAGAACATGAAGCTTCATGGACAGATTATAATTGTAGGCCAGAAGGTACTAAAGGAAAACATCTGCAAGCACCTTAGTGACCTCCTGGCCTAAGTCCACAAATATGTTCATTATCACAGCTCTCATGCAACTTCCACAATTCTGATAATTCCTGCCAGGCCTGCAAATGATGATCTAGAACTTTCAGAGAGAGTGCAATCCCATTCAGAACTGGTTGAACAAGAGGTTGGACCAAGATGGTGAAGTGAAAGCATCTAGCTATTAGAGTGCTCTGACAATTTTTTATTTCTACTTCTATATTATCAGTTTTATCAGCTTCACAACTGTATACAACTAATATTCAAACAAACTGGGTGAGAATTGTCTATACTTAACTGTCAAGAGATTACAGGTTAATTAATACAGGTGCTGCTTACTTCCATTTAAAATGTTTAAAAGAAGCTCGTTTTTAGCAGTGCAGTTGTAACTGTTAGACTGTAATCTACAATTTTTCTCAGCAACCAGACAGGTAAAGTATATTTCTACCTCAGTGGAATATAATGCTAAATAGCTGATTAAGAAGTTTTTATGTAAGGAGGAAATGCAAGTTTTTCTCCATACACATTTGCTCTTAAAATAATAATTTTATAGTATCTGTTGCATGTGTTATGGAGAATACTGGCATTTAAAGAAAGAAAGGTTAATACCATTTAGTTTGGCCTGTATTAACAATATAGACCTCTCTCAGTCAAAACCATTAACATCACAGTGTGTTCCTATCTCTTTTTCTTCTAGGTGGCTTGTTATAGCAGTTGGTTTAGTCAGAGCATACCTTGCAAAGGGTAGCTACCATAATCTCTATCATTCAATAGAAAGGCCTTTGAAATTCTTCCAGACTGGAGCTTTGCTTGAGGTACGTATATCACAGGGAAAGTGTCTTTCTCAATGTTACTTCACCCCTAGGCATTTCATCTTGTTCTTGTACTGTGAGGCTGAATTAATTACTATCCCTTGGTAATTAAGCGTGGTAATTAAGCATGGACCAAGTGCAAGTCAAAGTTTATTCTATCCAATGAAAAAGTGTACATTTTTATTTGATAGAATAACATATGCATAATAGCAAGCATATCACTTGCAACAAAGAAAGATTGATAAATGATGAAATTACTATTTTCAAGTGAATGTGTTTTCCTTTAAAATTAAAGTTTAGGCATTTTACATAATTGGTAAAAGTGTTAAATTAGAGACCCTTCATGCTTTTCCATTACAGCATAAAGAAGAGAAGAAATCTTTATAGAGAGTTCATATGACCTGAGAAAATTAAATTATTTTAAAAGGTGGTTCTGATATCTTAATAGTAATTCACATAGCTGCCAAATTTTCCAGTTTGTCACTCACTTCTCTTTCCAATAATGCACACAGAGGAGGGATTGCTTTATTTCATGGAAGATTCTATGATCCCATTTTCTCATGAACACTCCCAAGAAAGAATGAATATTTTAAAGAATAACAATTCTTTAAAAGAGATAAAAGTCAGTTTTCCTCTAATAACAGCTAGTTTTCTGAAAGGTGGCTTTCCCACACAGCAGAATTATAGGTGAGAAATTAGAATTATAGGTTAGAAATTTAGAACAAATGAAAGTTGCACAAAATTATTACTGAACAGATGAGAGAGGCACATTATGACAAAAATGGCTGGTGGCAATGCTATTTAAAAACAGTGTTCTTAGTCATGATACAAGATGTTTTTGTAGTAAAGAAAAAAGTGTTACAAATGTCAGAAGTCTTAATTATTGCTGACTTTTTTTTTTAGATCCTGCACTGCGCAGTAGGTAAGTTTTTTAATTAAATATTTAATATCTCCATATGGGAAGGCAAGGAAAGAATTCTGCTAGTATGCTCTGCTCGGTTATTTAAAGGAATAGCAGCTATATACAGCATTGGTATACATCCAATTTCTCAGCATTTGGTTTTTCTTTTCCGTTTTAAAAAGCAGCGTTGAACATGCAAATGTACAACTGTTTTCTCAGAAGTATTACATGTTCAGAGTAACAGAAGAAGTTGTTTCCAAATGTTATATTTATTGCTCACGTAGAGATATAGCCATTGTTATGGTGTTAACTTAATAAGAAACTGTTGGGCTAATTCTACTTCATACTGCTTATGAAGTAGCTGTTTGGTATAAAGATTAAAGTTTGCCAAAATAAAACGCAGCATTTTGAAACAATTTACTTCCAAGTTGAAAATTTGGTCCAATCTTCTGTTTAGCGTCATCACAGGAAAGCCAAAATGATCCCCCCTCTTTTTTTTCTTTAAATGAGTATGCTATTTAATTTGCCACAGGCCAGAAATAAGCAAGCTTAGGCTTTATTGCAGCTGGTGGAGCAAAAAGTTCTTTTGCAGGACCTCTGAGGATAGATCATTCTCCTGGGTCAAACAGGGATTGAAATCAGTAAGATGGTGAATCCAGAAGAGAAGGAAGAGTCAAGGTCAGGATATTCACAGACAAGTGCTGAGTTTTAAGTAAGTTGTCCTCAGCATTGTCCAAAGGGAAGTAGTGCAATAAATTTTTTTGCTGAATCTCTACCCAGTCCACAGCTGAGACTCATTGGATAGTAGTCTGCTCTCCTCTTGGTACTCCCATGCATTTTGTCCACCCTCTCAGATCTGTGCTGTTCAGTTCTCAGAGTAGGAGCCAAACCCAACTGCGTAGATTTTGGAAAGCATGATTATAGTTCCATTATGATTATGGAGTTGGGCAGCCAATAAATTTAAATATATTATTATATTGTTGGTTGTACAGTCAGGCAGATGTTTAGACCGGATTTGGCATTTTTATCCACCTATTGAGTCCTTCCCAAGGACCTGGGATAAGCAGATG